TAGGCAAGGGATTGCTCATCTGCCAGTTTTTTAGTAGTTTCATCTCTAGGGACATTCTAGCTACGGCAAATACAAAAATGAATCCCAGCAGATACCACCTCCTTCCTGACGTTATGATTATGTACAATATGTTCAATAGGCAACTGCCATCATTAGACAGGAGATGGAAACAGGCAGGAACCATAATCACAGTTAAGGAGTTAGGTGGGCTCTGAGCTACAAATCTTCTCCCCCAACTCCACTTACAATGGCCCTGAGAGTGAGACCTCCCCACCCTCCAGTTTCCAAGCTATGAGCTCCAACCCTGCCCAAATTTGTAGGAAGGTCAGCATCCAAGGAGACTGCAACTGGGACAACCCAAACAAAGGCATACACCTAGCCTGTGACACGCCCACCCCTCTCTTCCCAGCTGTCCCCATGCTACTACTTGGCAGCTTCCATGTAGCTCTGCTCTCTCCATATATAGCCACGCATGAGGACTGAGTGCTGAGTCCTCTTCTTTCTCACTGGGACCAAAAGGCAGGACCTTGGTTCTTCCTTCACCTCACTGATGGCCCAGTGTCCTGCGGTACCTACTTTCTTTATCTACTTGGAAAAACCTACACCAGCTTACAGAGAGTGATGAGCTGGTCACCCAAACCTGACTTGCAAAATGGGCCCAAAGAGTATGGAAGCCCAAACCTGCAAGTATATGGATAGAGATGTTAGGATCACATCCCACACCTGGATGCCTTTGGTGATGCCACAAGGCCATGCCAAACACACTTATACTGAAGCACTGGAGCTGTATTTCCCCAGTTCAAAGACATCAAGTGTCTGTAAGAAAACTTGGTGGCTGCCCAGGCAGCACTGCTCCTTTCCTGTGACATAGGCTCCAGTATCCAGAGCTGGGGATCTGTCCTCCAGGGGCCTGCCTGTCCTCCTGAAATCACACAGGAGCTCTGGCACAAGCAAAGTAGGCCTCATTCACACATACATGAGCCTTGGAAGCAAGAGTCCAGCTCAAAAGGAGCTGCCCAGACTTACACTGACAAATATACAGTAATACGTATCTATAAGAGATAAACATTAGCAAGAATGCTGAGGGTGTAACAGCAAGCCTATGATCCCAGCACCCTGGGAGGATGAAGCAAGAGAATTCCAAGTTTGAGCCTACCCTGTATAACTCAGCAACTTAGTGAGACCCTGTCCCAAAATAAGAAACTAAAGAAGGGCTGGGAATGTAGGTCAGTATGAATGCCTTGGGTTCAATCACCAGTACCACAAGAGCAAAAAAAGCCATTAGCAAAAATAAAGTGGAGTGGGGGATGGGGGCACATCCTTGGCGTCTATCTTTAAAACTAAGAGTAGTCTCTACTCACTGCAGTGCCCCAGAGCAAGGCTGAGCAGCCCCCATACTTCTTCCTGAATTTTACAGCTACTTCTTGCATGCTGTAGCCTTCATTTCACACAGGATGAAAGTAAGACATAGGTACATTAACAGAGTCAAACCAGGCTTTATTAAGTTCCAAGTATAATTCTTCACTAGGGAAAACACCCATCATGGAAACCCTACCCGGAAGTTTGAGTACTTTGCAGTGTTAGGAGAGCTAAGGTTTAGTAAGAGCCAGTGTGCACATGGATAGAAGTAGCTGCTGGCATCTTGGCTATTGTGGACCTCCCAGCTGCCAAGTTTCAAAAGCCATAGGACCTTAAAATGAGAAGCCTTGTAAAGAGATGACCACACATTCAGCAAGAACAAGCACTCAGGACAGAGGAAACCATAGCAGCAGGACTTATAGTTAGAGAACATTCTCACTTTACAAAATGAAACATGGCCTCACGACTAACACAATTCTGTCCAGTGCATGGGATTTTAGTGATTCTACCAGTTAGTAATCCCCACTTCTCTTGCCAAGCAGCTGATTCAAAGATGGTACTTCTGTTTACATGCCATCCCCTAGCCCTGTCTGTAAAATTCCTATCTTTCCAACCCTAAAATTCACCAGCACCAAGTACATTTAGAGTAGGTACAGAAAAGGACTGCAGGGGTATGGTCAAAGGAACTGCTGGGCCTCCAAAGACCTACCCAATGCCACCATATCTACACCTGAGAAACAAGGACAACATCCTAGTTCTAAAGGCAGAAGTACATGAGCAGCCAGCAGTTTTTTTCCAGGCCTACCTTGTATAACTGTAGAAGAGGGCTGTAAATGGGCCCTCTTCAACTATACAAGCTTCTAATCACATAGTGCCTGCTTCTTTCACCTCTTAAAGCATCTCTACACTAAAGCAGGAGCTGGGTTCTGGTACAAACAACAAACTTTTCAATCATGCCTGTAAAATACAATACAGAATGAAATACAAAGAGCTGTAACCAAAACAAATCAAGTATCAAGGCTTTATAAAGCACTTCCCAGGGGCAACTCAGGAAGGAGCATTATGCCTGGCTTGACCCTAAGGAAAGTATGAGAAAAATGATGCAGGACAACAGATGAACAGATGCTGAAATGCACAACACAGACACAGTCCCACTGGAGGAAGTCCCAAGAGGAAGTGAAAATTCACTCAGGCTATCTACAAAGAGAACTTCAAGGTAATAGTGAGCCTTGAATTGACTCCTAAGACAACAGGACAAGGGTCCGGGGGGCACAGGGCATGGTGGGTACCAAGCTGGGTTCTGAGGATGTGCTTGGGCAGGGGGTTGTCACAGACCACAGGTTTAAATCAGTCAAGCAATCCCTGGATGTGCTTGTATCTGCCCCCGACCCACCTGTCCGTCAACATCTTCAGAAAACACCCCAGAAATCTCTGCTGTAACTGGTTGACCTGGGGAGGAGGGAGTCAGGAAGCACCTGGTATGCATTTAGCACTCTCCCCTGCCCCAAAGTGAGCAGCAGTATTTGAAAATCCTTTTTTTTTTTTTTTTTTTTTCAGTACTGGGGATTGAACTCAGGACCCTGCACTTGCCAGGCAGGTGCTTATTCTACTGAGCTATCTCCCCTGAACTCAACAATCACTAGTCAAGTGCCAGGCAAGGAAATTTGTAGCAGGTCACTTAAACTTTAGAAATATCTACCAGATATCCTTTTATTAATCTTAACTATGAAGTCAGGGTTTAAAGATCTCTACAGGTGAATCAACATCCTGTTTATTTCCCATCATGTAATTAATGGCCTCCCACTGTGAACACCTCTTCCCTTCCACCCTCCTCAAATTCCTCACTCAGGATTTAATTATTGGGGAGGAATCTCCTGGAACATTCTTTCATCAGAAGTGTGAGGAAGTGAGAAGACAGAATTTTATACATATTTTCATTTTAAGTTGGAATACTCTAGTAACATGACCAATATTAATTAGCATTACTCTTTCTAGCAATTTACCTGTGACTGGAACTGACCTTATTTACTATCAACTATTTTGTGAGAGAAGAAACTAAATGCTGTATTACTTTCATGTTATAAATTCGGGTTTTACAATTTGAAAATCAAATGTAATTCAATAAATGGCGATTTAAATAAATATATATACATATATATTGATAGATTCCCTCCACATCTAAGGATCTCTATTACATGAAGGTATAATTTTAAAGTGGTCTTAAGAGACAGTAAAATAAAAAGGATGACATCTACTTTACTGTGCAATGGGCTCTGAATCCACTGTGCCAGTGTTGAGTATCAACGGCCCTTTCTTTGAAGACCCCAATAAACAAGAAATTTAAAATCTGATGTAATATACAAAATAGGGGCATCTGAGTAAAAAGGACAAGTGCATGATCAGTAAGATCCACTGTTTAAAAAGAAAAGTCAACAGTAAAACATACATCCACACTATAAAAGGAAAACCAATAGCTGGCAAAAAAAAATCTATTTCTATTCTACAGATGACTGTCATTTTCTAGGAGGTCAATTTTCTAACAAGAGACTTGGGTCAAATGAGCAACGGGTGAACAGCTGGGAGTAGGGCAGGGTGAGGAGATGGACCTGCACTAACAACTCAAACTTTGCTTTTATCCACGTCGAATGATTTTGTGGAAGAATCCTCATTTCCTGCTCATAGGGTCAAGTCACACACCAAGAACTTTTGTCTGTGTCAGTCTTCTGGAAGTGAAAAGCATTCCTAATCTTTCTGGAGAGTTTCCTGAACATCAAGCATCAGGTTGGCAAGGCACAAATTCAAGTGCAACTACACAGGCACAGCTGAAACCCTCCAAAGTTAGAATAAGGCTTGTGAACTGCCTGAGAGGTGGAAAGGGGGGGCAGGTAAAAACTCTTCCTACAGACATTTTTTTCTGAGTTTCAATCCTGGACGGTCCCAAGATACTTTTCCTTAGCCATGCACCTCTTGTAAAAGTAATAATGAAAATAATTCGTTGCCACCTGCACAACAGTATGGCCATTTAATTTGATAAAATACAACAAACAGGAAAATTAAAGGTTAGTGGGAAAGTACGATAGGTAGAAAGCAGATTTTTAAAAAATCCCTGTCTGCCTCCCCCACCCCTAAACCATTCCCTAATTTGAGCAACAACCTTTTTGTTACAAAATCTTACTATGGGACTGCACCTAAGAGCTGCGGAGCCGGTGCATGTTGTAGATTAGAAGAAAGGGATGAAGCGTCAACTCTGTAAATGCCACCGTGTCAACCCCAATGCCTTCTTAACTGAAACGTCTGGAATGTGGAAAGAGATGTTTGGGTTCTCTGTTTCAGAGCCAGTAAGTACGCTCGCTCGATCGTTCGATGGTACAAGCAATGTTCACACTAAACGTAAGAACCCAAGGAGAAAAAGTACTAACGTCCTGGGCATAGGGAACCTCCTTCTCCACCAAACCGGGCGGAGAAGGCTTGGGAGACAAGCGCCCCCGGGAAAGCGACAGGGTCTCCCCGAGGCAGGTGGGTGCTGGGGCGCCAACTCCTCCTCGGGCCCAGGGCGCAGGCCGTGGAGCACCGGGTTTGGAGCCCGCAGCTGGCCATAGCCAAAAAGACCTGAGTCCCTCGGGGGCCCGCACGGCCCTCACCTTGTCCGAGTCGAGGTCGGGGTCGGCCTGGCACAAGCGGTACAGGAAGGACTTCGGGTCCCGGCACAGCGTCTGCCGGGTGGTGAGGAAGTAGGTGCCGCCGACATTAAGCCGGACCCACTTGGACACACCACCGGGGCGCTGGGCCAGGGGGCTGAGCCCCGAGCTGCAGCGGCGGCACAGGCCGCCCCCCAGCCCCGCCCCGAGACCACCCGGGGTTGGCGGCAGCAGCTCGTAATGGTTATCCGCCATGATGCCGGCAAGCCCCGCCACAGCGATCTTCTACTGGAAGCGTCCGGTCTTTAATAGTGTCCTCCGTGCTGTCCCGCCCACAGGTCCGCCCCAGTAAAGTGCCCGCCCCGGCGTCACGCGGGGGGTCGGAAGTTCCGGTCCGGAAAGGCGGCCGGCTGTGCCCCCTTCCGGCCGGAGGGAGCCTCGGTTTCGCCCTCACCCAAAAAGGAGCCAGGGTCGCAAACACGTAACACACTACATGCTTTTATTACAAGATTACCGAGCATACGAGTGAAATTCATCATTCGGTAACTACATCTAAAGCACAGATATTTGAAAAAGAGAATAAACAGATTCATTAAATTATGATTAAACCATGACCAAATAGAAAATTTATATAATAAAGCCAGAAAAAAAGTTGTAAAATATAGTTTACAATAATTATTCACATTCAAGGCTGTACATCAATACATACAACAGCGTGGCCCCGAACATGAATTCAATCCAAATAATTCATATATTAGAATTTAAATAACACAGACTGAACTAGAGGCCAACAATAGCCAGCAAATAACCTTATATAAGAATAAAAATACAAAAGTGTATATCCTAGTATCATTGCATTATTTTGTTTTCATAATTTTTTTAAATTTTGCTTTGCCTGTACAGCTACAGACCAAGTAGAGAATATTACACTTGTTCTGACTGCCACCAACCTGAAGAACAGCAACACACTATTGATTCGTCCTATTTTATGTGGTTACAGAACAGCTGCAGCATTTCTAAATACTGTAATATTTAATTTGTTACCATCCAAACTATGGTCAAAATAGGGGCTTTCACCTACACAATAACCTACTGGTAGTCATTCATCCAGACAGATTAGAGTGGGCTACAGGGATTAAAAGGTTTGCCTTTTGTAAAAAGTTTTCTATACAGTGTTTGGTGTTTCTTCACATTGAAAAAATGACTTACAGGAAAAATTCAGGTGTTCTCATGGCTCATTCGTCTGCCCACCATGACCACTCAGCTTCCTCCCTAGACTAGTTTTTCACAGACAGACTGATTTACAACCAGACAGTCTTAGGCCAGTAGCCAGCATCTCTCAAGAGGCTCTGGAAGTGACTCCAGCCCCGATTCAAGGGCACCTGCCATACGTTCTGCCTAAGAATCAGCCAAGCTTACTTGAGTCACTATCAGTTCATGTTAGGTTTGCAATGAAACGAAATGGAAGGATGTAAAGTGACATCTTCTAGAACATAGTACCTTTACCATACTCTGATGAGGGCTGCAGCCACTCAAGATTCAGGAACGATCACTTTGGGTCTGTGAACCACCCATGGGTCCAGAGGAGGGGCACCAAAGGAGGACTGGCAGCCCAATTCTACACGATTCAGCCATAAGCTATGGCAGGCTCAAGGAGCACTGAGCATGGCATCCATAAAGTCCCTCATGCAGATTTCCAGACCAACATGGAGATACAGAATTAATGAAATTCAGATGATTGGGCCTAAAGACTACTAGCTACCCTGAAGCACTGTTAGAAAGGGGGAAGAAAGCCTTATATCCATGCCAGCTGGGTCACCTATACTCTTTATAAGAGGCCTGATCACTTTGCTGTCCCAAACCACAAAGACTCTGATAGTGGAAAGGGACATAGACTTTTGTAAAACCAATCATCTACATGGTTTCTTTTTCAATGAGAGCCTTTGCTCTGCTACCAATCCCAAATGGCCCAATGTACTTTCTTAATCTATAAACTTAATTACAAATCACCCACTAAGCATGTAGCAAGGTCAGTTCAACATTTATCTCTGCTGACTGTGCAGAAGCATTCAGTACCACTGTGGACACAAAGTACAAGTTTCTGAAAACCAAGCACTTGGGAGCCCTAGCAGCAGGGATGGAAGAGAACTAACATGCACTCATGATAAGATTCTTGCAGTGGAAATAAGGAAACTGGCTCCTGTAAAGATCTGTCAAAAATGGATATGCAGTAATGACACCATTGTGGCATTTTTAAAACAAAGGACTAGTCATATCTAACCATTCTCTGCAACACACTGCTTAGCAGAAACTGATTTGTTCCACATCTGTAGGACACCAAGAAGTAGGTTCTATTACTCAAACTTGGAGCATGTAATAAGCATCAGACTGAGAGAGAAGAGTGTAAAATGAAAGTCTTTCACCCAAAAATGGCACTTTCACGCATTTAAGGGGGAATAAGGAAATTCATCACAGCACTATTCATATAGTGAAAAATCAGAAATCATCTCAATGTTTCACTACAGGAAACAGTCAGATAAATTATGATAAAATTTACAAGCATCAGACTCTACAATCATTAAAAACATGCTTCTGAAGAACTGCTTGTGACATGGGAAAATACTTAGGATGAACTAGCAAATGAAAAAGCTCAATACAAAATAGTATATATGTTCCCAGTTTAGTTACAAAAGCAAACAAATGCTAGGGTTGAGGGGTGTGATAGGATCTTGACTAAAATGCCCATAGTGCTCTCTGGGTGATAAGACTACAGGTGATTTTTTTTTCAGAAAAACCGATATTACTTTCAAGAAGGTACAAAAATCACTGGAGACCTCTTACCTGGCATTGTGAGGGTCTATGTCATAGGGCTATGCACACACTCCCGTTAGGCATGAATCACAACTACCATAGGGTGACCCAAGAGAGCCAGAGTAAATGAAATTCCTGTCACTTTTGGCCTGACATGAGCCATCTTTCCCAGTCAAATTTTTTACAGTTTAGGAATCAGTAAGCCACTCTCTGGGATAAAGAGGCTCAAAGCTCCACACAGGGTTGTCCACTGACCCTGTTGGGGTTCAGAGTCAAAGGGTGGAAACAACCCACTTGAACTCAAGCTTTCTTTTTGTGTTCTCAGGGGAAGGCAGGGCACAGTAAGCTCTTTGAGCTATTGATGCACACATCTGCCATTCTATGTCAGGAGAAACTACACAGGGTAGTCATGGCATTGATGTTTATCCTTGCCCTTTCTTAAGACACATGACTCCCAGAGCTATTAAGTAAGAGGACGCTACTTTCTCACCTTGGACACATTCCCACTTTGGATAGATTTCCATCTATCTATGTCTATGCACCTAGACTATCACCCACATCCCTGTTCCAGAACCTAAAGCACCTTTGTCCATGGTGACGGCTCTAAGGATAGTTGGGAAAATTGAACTTGATGTTAAGTCTGGGCAAGAAAAGAACCCTGCATGGGCCTTAAACAAAAAGAAAAAACAAACAAAAAACTCAGCAAGGGCCAGGGATGTTTTTCAGTGGCACAGTACCTGCCTGACAAGCGTGAGGTCCCGAGTTTGATTCCCAGTACAAAAAAAAAAGCAAACAAAAGGGAGACTGTGCATGAAAACAAAGTTGATCCAAAAAGGACTCAGCTAACAGCACAGGTAGGGACAGTTATCATCTCAGCCTCTGGCTCTGAGTCTTCATCTGTAGCTCCAGAGGTTAGGACAGTGCTTGTTGGTGAAGCCCCAGAGGTAGTGGCACTCTCCAGAGAGAAGAGTCAACAGAAGACTCACCTCACTTGCCTGTGGCCAGCCTGGTGCTCTTATCAAGCAAAGTCTCAGTCCCTTTGTTCCCTGGTAGCCAGGTGCCCTTGGACACTGCTTTCCCTGCGCTTGTGTATGGAGGGGAGTCAGGGAGCCGCCCCTGCACATATAGACATGGGACATGTTGAGGAGAGCAAGACAGCAACAAGAGGAGTAAGGCTTTTCAAGAAATGGTCAGGTGAGGCTCACCCAACATGGGCAAATCTTGCCACAACGTAGGAGAAAAGGGGCCTGGCCATGCGGCCATGAGCCAGGGCTGGGTCCTGCTCCCTAGAGTGCCCCAGGGCCAGTGGGGCCCTAACACATGCTAGTTTGAATAAAACTCAACAGAAATGGCTAGCAAAGCCTAGGGAGCAGTCTCAGCTTCCACCCAGTGTCTGTGCCCCAGGACAATAGCACACCCACATCTATATCCCTCCCCAGCTTAAGAAAAGCCATTTTTATCATTAAACCAGTTTGGGAAATAAACAGGTCAAGGACACCGGGTAATCAATGGTCATTGGAGACAGGAGGTGAAGGGATCTTTTCTGTGTGAGCCTTTTGCTGGTGCCTTTGTGAAAAATCTACAGAAATGACAAAGTTGTTCTTGCCTTGGGGACATGGCAGTCAGAGACATATCTGTGGGTAGATTGGAAAGGCAGGTACCTGCTCCTCTCCCTGAGGGATTAATGGCCATTCTAGGGGCTACCTATGCAGGACGAGGCACAACTGGACTCCTCTAGAGCACTCTTCCTAAGAATAATAAAGCAAAGTAAGGAACTGACACATCCTAGGTTGTATTATAAAGCAGAGCACTCCCACTAAAGCATCAAAGGAAGAGGCCCTAAAACTGGCAAAAGATGCCAGACTGGGCAGGCTCAGATTTAATGGGTTTTCTTGAGTTCCGGGCAACAGTGAGTAACACTTTTTCCCAAGCAAAGTCCACCCTATGGGACCAGGTGACTAGCCAATGTGACGTGTTTCGTTCTACACAGAAACAGAAACTGAGTTAAATTTGAGAAGGGTTTAGCCACAACAAAAACAAGGAGCATGTGAGGCTAGCCATGAGACTAAAGCACCCCAGGGCTGCAAACACCATGATTTTCTCTCAGCACACACCTCACTCGGCAGAGAGCTATACATTTAAACCTTTTCAGACTCTCAGAAAGGCCAGAGGCCTCAATCCTTTACCTAGTGGCCATCAGCTCAGGTTGCTCTGGCTGGTTCCTCTGCGGTATCTTCTGGCCTCATCCTCATACAGGGAAGGACTTTGTGTTCTTAGGAAAACACCCACCTAGGTGCTAACTAGGCTTCTGTAACTGATAGCATTCCTCCTGTCAGTTTGGCTTGGTATCCAGTTCCACTGATGGACACTGCTAGAAGGTGGAAGTTAAGGGTGCTCTTCAACTGTGGCAGTCTGGCCCCTCCTGACCTCAGCAGTTTGTCTGCCAGAGACAAAGACTGTAGATATTTTGCCACTAGAGCCAATCCGGGAGGCACAAGAGGAGCATACAGGAGAGACACAGAAAAGAAAGGCAGTGCACGCACGCACGCACACACAAAGCTAAAAAAGCCAATGCCCAGAGAGCTGGTGGCTGACCCAACAGAGGTATGCAGAGGCTCCTGGGTGAAAGGAGGGGGATACCAGCCAACAATAGGATGACACACCAGGTTCCTTGGCCACAGCAGTAGTAGTGCATGGCAGGTAGGGCGGGGTGGAGGCAGGTGCATGGTTCCAACAGATGTTGGGAGGAGCTAGTGACACCAAGTCTGGCCACTGGTCTGGTTGGGAACTGGGCTGCCGTGCATGGGGCGGGGTCCCCCTGATCACAAGAGCATGTGGGAGCCTCCACAGAGCACAGGGAACAAGCAAAGTGACCCTGAATTCCTGTTTGTTATTGGTTTTGTTCTCTATGTGATTGTTTTTTTTTTTTTTTTCTCTTCTTCTTCTTCTTTTAAATAAAAAAAGCTGCAAGGTTTCTGCCTTCTGTGTTCTCCTTGAGATGGCCGGCAGGTGGTCTGGAAGAGTCCTGGGTGGCGGCCGAGCCGCACTGGGGCAGGTGTCCTGGCAGCAAGGGGCAGCCCGGCCGCAGGCTGTGTCACTGCACAGTGGCGTCCGGGTGGCTCTGGTATCGCTGCCTCCAAACCTCCTGGATCTTTCTGCACCACTTGTGAGCATTCCCGCTTGGATCCATCAGGTAATATGTCCTGTTAGGCTGTAAAAACAGAGTATCTACAGTTTTCCTAGGAATCCCAGCCACTTGCACCATGCCACCCCTTCTGCTGTTAGCACTACTACCTTAGAACAAATCTGTAAGCACAGTGGTCTTTCTTCATTCCACATGTGCAGGAGCTAAAGAGTAGACAAGCGACCCAGCACAAACTAAGAAAAAAAAAGCACAGGGTGTCTTCCCAGCCCACCTTAGAATTGAGCCATTAACACAGGGCCTCTAGACTGGAGAAACTGCCTTGGTCCCAGCTGCCCCTTGGTCAAAGCAAACACACATCCAAGAGAGGCACCAAGGTCTCCAATGGCACTGCCAACAAGAGTCCATAGGGACAGACTCACCGTATGGACAAAGAAAGTTTTAAAATTCTTGGCTTCTGGTCGGAGTTCTTGTGACCATGGAATTTCACCTTTCAGGACCTTGTTGACAGGATCAACATAATATAAATGTGGCCCTTCTGTGAGCAACAACTGTCGTCTTCGTGCAAACAACCCCTGATATTAAAAAAAGAAAAAAATAAAAGACTCTTACTACAGTTCAGGAGTGCTAACCACACTGGTCACCACTGCCTCATGAGAGACTGGCCTACAAAGCCCCTCAGTGCACAGGGACATTGCCCAGTTCCCTACTCAGTCACCTGTGATACCTGTTCCTGCCTAGGCCCAAGTTCTAAGGTCAGAGATACATAAGTATAGGGCCCTGCTGCTGACAGGCAGCCCATTGTCCCTGGCACTTAGTTCTTTCAAGGCACAGTGCCCTGTGTTCCATGAACCAGGCCACAGACTGCTGGTGTGGACACACTCATTCATGGAGGCTGCACAGCCAGGAAGGGCAGTCAGAAGCCCATGCTCAGTATGAGCCTACGATAGCACAGAGTCTGATTATTTTCTGACACTATCTGTTCAGTCCATAAACCATAATGCACAATGACCCTTAAGGGTCCTGTCTGTTTTTACAGTACTAGGACTCTAACCCAGGCATATCTAACATTGAGCTATACCTCCAGCCTATCTATCTATCTATCTATATATATATATATATATATATATATATTTTTTTTTTTTTTTTTTTTTTTTTTTTTTTTTTTTTTTTTTTAGAGTATCTTGCTAAACTCCCCAGGCTGGGGTCAAACATGTGATCCTCCTGCATCAGTCTCATGAATAGCTGGGGTTACAGGCATGTGCTATTGCACTTGGCCCTTCTAACAAAACATTTGACTATGCTGGAATATCAGATATGTCTTCCTCAGCATGACAGAAGTCTTGAAACAGTAAGCCTGGCCTTGTGCAGCAATGGGAAGCCAGGTTCCAGAGAAAGAACACCAGGCTGGCTTTTCCACATTCCTCTTGTGGCATTCCAGGGAGGCTCTGATGGCTTTCCTGAGGTCCTAGGTCTTCCTGGGCCACAAAACATGGAAATAATCTCTACAGAGAAGGTGCTATATCCAACACACTAGTAGGAGTCCAAGGAAGCAGAGTGGACTAGTTAGAGGTAGGAAGAAGAAAGAAACTGATGAAGAGAAAGAGCAGCAGGGATCCAACTCACCTTTCGCTTATCCACTGGACCCATTTTTAGTATTAAATTATTTTCTACAAACTGATGCCTATAAGAAAAAAAAAGAAGAATGACACATCCATAGAAATTCTCTGGACTCCTCCTTCCTCACAAATTCCCCAGGGTCTCTGGACTCAGCATGAATCAACCTCTCCTTAGGATCAGGAGGTAACTCCAAATGCAGGGTATGGAACATTCCTTCAGTATCTAGACTGGAATCTGGATCCCCTGTGGTCACCTCTCAGACTGAGGCACTTACACATCAGAGGAAAGGTGGTGGAGAGTGGTACCATAGTACCAAGAGGTAACACACATGTCACTGTCACCTCAAAAAAAAGCTGTGGTGAATGCATGAAGTCCTGGGTTCACTGATGAGGCCTAGCATCCCCATAGACGGGGGGGGGGGAACCCTGTGTTGAGAAGTGACGAATCCTCTTGAAAGGCACATGCTGTTGGGAGTAAACTTCAGGATAAGACTGTCTTCCTTAAGTTACTTTCTGTGCCAGTATCCCTGGGTCAGTACCCAAAATTCAGAGTATTTTATATCATAGATTCCTGAAAGACTTAAGTTGGACTTAGCTCAAGAATATCTTGTTTGCTGGGCTGTGGAACAGACCTCTAATCCTAGCTACTCAGAAGGTTAAAGCAGGAGAACTGCAAGTTTAGGGTCTGCCTGGGCAACTTAACAAGACCCTGTCCCAAAATAAAAATATAAAAAGATGTCAGACATGGTGGTGCATGCCTATAATCTCAGCACCCTTTATATTTTTTTATTTTGAGAGTATCTTGCTAAACTTCCCAGGCTGGGGTCAAACATGCGATCCTCCTGCATCAGTCTCATGAGTAGATGGGGTTATAGGTATGTGCTATTGCACCTGGCCCTTCTAACAAAACATTGGATTATGCTGGAGTATCAGGTATGTCCTCCTCAGCATTACAGAAGCCTTGAAACATTAACAGTAAGTCTGGCAGGCTGAGGCAGGAAGAATGCTACAAGTTCAAGGCCAGCCTCAACTGCATAGTGAAACACTGTTTCCAAACATACACACACACAGTCTGACAAAAAATATACACACTTTAGGAAAAGAAAAATAGTATGATGTTTTTTCAACAGATGGTATTATGCTCACATGCAGACCCAGGACTGTATCATATTACTGCAGAAAACCCACTACCCTGTCAGCTCTTAGAGAAATTGGAAATGCATGTATAACAATCAATCTCAGTGACAGTTAACTAAGCAGTAGTCTGCCATACAAATGAATGTCTAGAAGCTAATGGCCACCACTTTGAGAATCTCTTGTCATTGTTAAGGCCAAAGGTAACTTGTAACTGGGCATGGTGTCACACACACAGGTAACCCAAGAAATGGGAGGCTGAGGCAGGAGGGTCGTCTGAAGTTCAAGGCCAACCTGGTTATCTAGTGAGCTAAAGTCCAGACTAAACTACATAGGAAGGCCCTGTCTCAATAACAAACAAATAAAACAAAGGTAATGTTTATGAATCTCATGATGTCTCAATAAATTTAGTATTAAAATATTTATACAAGTTTTCCTTTTCCTGAAGTGTATATCTTTTTGTGGTGGACTCTATATATGGATGAGAATGTAGTTTAGAAGCAGCAAATGTGGCTACCACGCCTGAGGCCTTGGATTCAACTCTCACTCTCAACAGTACAAAAGAAACAGCACAACTTTTCAAAGGGGACAGAGCACATGCTTAGTATGTACCAGGCTCAAAATCCCTCCCTGGGTTAAACCCCAGCACCCAGGGAGAGGGAAATTTTTTCTGACATTTCTGCCACAGTAATAAAATATTGTCTTTTTTTTTTTCCAGACTGGATCTCTGTATGTAGCTCAGACTTCCCTTGAACTCATGATCCTCCTACCTACCCTTGAGTGCTGGGATTACAGGCATACATATAATACTACATCTGGTGTAACAAAATACTTTTATTCAAACACAAGAATTTGGAAGTCAAAGATATATAAACTTTACCTCCTAAAAGCTTAAGAGATTGTCCTAATGTCTACAGGTTATCTCATTTGGTTAAAGCTAACAGCTACTGGTTTATACTGTTAATAATACTGGGGATTCAACCTAGGACTTCCTCACTAAGTTGTACTCCTCAGTACTTTCCCTGCCCTTAATTTTTTATTTTGAAACAGACTCCTGTTATTGTTCCAGGCGGACTTCAGTTTTTAATTCTCCTACCTCAGCCTCCTGGTGGTGGGACTTTTTTTTTGGGGGGGGGGGCATACTATGGATTAAACCCAGGGTCATTTATTTATTTATTTTTTAATGTATTTAGTACAGGGTCTCATTACACAGATTGGACTTGTAATAATCCTCCTGTTTTTTTAGCCTCCCATGCACTGAGATTACAGGTGCATGCCACCACACCCTGTCTCATTCAGTCTCAGCTCACCTCGGAGGTGGGGCCAGCACAGTAGGCCCCTGCGTCTACCTAAGCCAGCGCTTTTAATCTGCTGAAGTATCTGGCCGGCCCAACCCAGGGTCTTTTAACCCAGGGTCTTTTAACTGAGGGTCTTTTCACTGTAATAGAGTAAGTGCAATGAAATGCCTCATCTGAGGTTTCTGTTGTACTTTTATTTGGGAAGGGCTTAGAACAACCATGAAAATATACCTGTACTTCTCCACAAATGGCTCACAGCACTCTGAAGAACTGGAATCAGGCTCTCTTGCCAAGCTCCACTAGCCCCACAGTCTAACCTAGCCTAACTTTACCCTGACCTGACTAGTCCAACAGCTGAGACCAGTGGGGCTTGTCAGGGAGGTTGCTCCACCAAGGGCCTCGCCTCAAGTCACAAATCAACATAGCTCATGTGGGCTTTAAGAACAACTAAGGCTGGGATGTGATGCATGCCTGTAACCCCAGCACTCAGAAGGCTGAGACAGGAGGATTGCTACCAACCTGGGCTACAAAGTGAATTCAAGGCCAGCCTGAACTGTGTACCAAGACCCTGTCTTAAAAAAGACCAAAGGGG